GTTCTTTAAGCCTCCCAGTCTGGGGTATTTTGCTGTGGCAGCCCAAGCAGACTAATACACAACTCAATTAGTAAACACTAACACTTTCTAAAATTATTCCACCATTCTAGAAAGTTATTATTTTTCCATTATCCACAGTCATTGCTTCATCCGGTGACAAAAAAGCCATGTAGCTGGAAGTCATCTGGCTAGCAGTACAGAATTAAGAGCCACTAGAAATTAAGTCCATACCCTCTCTGGAACTTAAATTCTACCAAAAAATAAATTTTAAGTGAAAGTCTAATGGAAGGGAGAAGAACTTTTGGAGCAAGTGTGAAATCAACATTCTGCTCCAGGTAGGTGCCATTTGATGGGGAGTGATCCTGAGTGCAGGGTTGTGGAAAAGGGTAGAACTTTCCTTTGTGCACAGAACTGGGACTAGAAAACAGTGATTAGGAAAGAAGTCAAGTGACTGACAAGTACACAAATGGAATAACCCTTAGGAGTTTTTGAGATTGCCTTTGTTTGAAGAAAAGAAGAACATTTTCTTCATATTGATATGACAAACACTGTATTTGCCAACTGGTATTTACTGGAAGCCCACCAAGTTCATGATTCACACCTGAACATTCCACAGGTCTTTAAAATTGTAGTGCCCCCTTCATAACTACACATTTAGTATTTTTATAATTAGATTATAATTTAATTGGAGCATACAATATCAAAAAAATTATCCAAAAATTAGAAATATTGCCTACTCAAATGTGCTACTTGTCTGGTCTTTCACAAGAAAGAATGTGAGGAACTAAGAAATAATTTTTTCTTCTTATTTGTAGAGTCTAATTCAAAGTTATTAACTCAGTACAGTAAATATACGCACTAAAGACTGGGTGAACAATGGCAAATAAACTTTGAAGACCAAATCCTCTTTTACAACTAAAAGTAACGTTACTGAGCTTTCTGCAGGAATTTCTGGGTAAGTTTTTCTGCATGGCCAGCCCCAGCAAGGGCCCGAATGCCCGGTTTGCTAATTTCTAATCCTGTAACTTCTCTTCCTGTAATAATGTGTAGCTTGTAAGACCTCAGCTCAATTTTCCAGATGATTTCAGAGACAAAGATTTGATGATTTGTTACACTAATCTTGACATTTCAAATTACAACTGAAAACAATCTTTCTTAATTAGTCATGTTCTTTCTGTTGAAAATATCGGACATTTGACATACTTGTTTAGCAAATATTTCAATTTTCCGGTCTTTAAAATATGGTCTTTCAGTCCCATGTTGATATTCACAAATTAAATTTTTAGTTTGCTCCATAGTGAAGATGTAAATATATATGTGCATATGTGTATTATTAATGTACACATACAGTATATGAATCTACAGCCATACTTGGGGAAAACAAGATATAATATGAATATTATATATGTTCATATCTATATATTTATATATGTGAATCTACAACTATACTTGGGGAAAACAAAGATTTTATCCAGGCTCACTTAGAATGATTATGAGAAAGTGAAACATTCTTTTCTTCCCTTAATAGGCAAATACATAGTTTAAAAGCTACCTCCCCAAATATGGGAGACTCTTTAGAGAAAGTGTTAAATCACAATAGCATTAAATGTACATTTACCATCAAGTCTTTTGCAATAAAAGTTGACATTAACTTTTTCTTCTATGATATTTACCAAATCACTGTGCTTGCCCAGGCTTTTATTAATATATGTTTATTTCTGCATTTCCATTTCTCAGCTACCTTTTATATTTTAAAAATACATATATCTTTTTAAAAATATATTTAAAAAATACATATATCGTTTTTAAAATATATTTTTAAAATTACATAATTTATAGAAGAAAATTTTAGGCTGATAACACACAGAAAGGCTTCTCGAAATGGCTAGCATTTGCTCACAGGAGGGAAGTAAAGGAATAGTTGCCGTATCCTAAGCCACCCCTACTGGCCCAAGTCTTTGTCCTGCTGAAGTGGTAAATTCTCCCAGAAACGCAACACAAGGTGGTGCTGTTGTATTTATGCTAAACCAGCTGCCAGCCTGCCCACTTAGGCTATCGGTTTGATCTGAAAGTGGTAGGTGTGTGCCAAAGTCATGGGTTTTGCATATGTAGGTGTTTATAGTGTAGTCCTTCTTTCAGATAAGAAAAGTTAAATAGAAGAAGGAGGAAGACAGTAAGTTTCTCCACACATGGAAGTTTCTGGAGAAACTATCTTAAAAAGAAAAGAAAGTGCATGACAGTACAAATGGGTTCCTTTTTTACTAAATTATAGGAGCATGGAAACTTAGGGCTAGAAGAGAGAAAATATTATCTAGCCCATCTCCCTGTCTTCAGACAGGATTTCATTTATAAATTATCAGCCAGTTAAACTTTTTCTTTTGGTTTTAAAATTTTCCAAGGAAGGAGATGCCACTTGCTCCCCCAGCAAATCAACACTCCCTAGTGTTGGGAAATTGTTGTGGACATATGTGCACCTCCTCCTGTTCTGAGTTCAGAGGGAACGGGAAAGATTTGATCAGCAGATGTGCCGAGTGAGTGAGAAGCACAAAAAAATTAATTATAACTCGGGGTTCTGGATTCCTCTCCTTCACTTGCTTATCTAGGACAAAGCAGGTCTCAGATTTTGCATCTGAAAAGCAAAGAGATTGGACTAACATCAGTGGTTTCCACAAATGGTTGGATCTCAAAATCACCTGGGAAGCTTTTAAAAAAAATACAGATTCCAGGGCCTCACCTATAAATTTGCTCAGTCAGAAAATCTAGGGCAGGGCCCAGAAATTGCACTTAAAAAAAAAATCCAAAAAACTGTTTTCCTTGGAAAACATTTTTCTTGTCTGAAGACATGGAAATTAGCTAAAAATGTGTAGGCAGGCAGCCCAGCACAGATCTAATGACTGGTCCATAGGTACCACTAGATTAAATAACTCTTAAATCCCATCTGATTTTATGATTTTTCAGGTGTCCTTAAAACAAAAGCCCTTGAAAAATAAAAGTGAATTATCCCAGATCTAAAGAATTTCCTCTTGAATTGTGTTCCCAACCCTTTGAGTAATCTGTAGTATGGATTTATAGCAAGATGTTTTCTAAATTTTTCAAACCCATGAAATTGGGAAGTCCAGAAATATTATTATAGTAAAGAAAATCCAATAAAGTCATTGTGTTCAGTCCGATGCCTACACACTGTTCTATTTTCCAGTTACTGTTAACTATGAATTAGTTGACAGTTATGAAAATAGGATTTTGACTCTCACTTTCATTTTTATAAAACTGGAAAGTTAAAAAACTAATCAAGTACTTGGCCCATGTATAAATAGGTAAGTGACATACTGGCAAATTGAGCTGTATAAAAGTCACTTACATACACAAAAAAGTCTCTAAAGTCTCTGTGTAAAACATTGGCTTTCTGACTCTGAGCCTATCTAGCATCAATGTGAAATTCAGTAACAATGCAATTCAGATTATTATACCTCAGATGTCTCACTTTAAAAAATCAGATAACTGAAGTATCATTTGTTTATTCTTGTTGATAGTATCAAGGTAAATAATTCTGCCTTCCATTTCCCCTTGCTAATGTAATGTGACCTCGGTGTTACTAAGTAAATCAATTAGGAGATTTGGCCTGTGTGTGCAACTCTTGCAAATGGGTAATTACACCAGCAAATAGAAACTTATGCACTCTTTGCAAGCCAGTCTTGAAGTCACTTTCAAATATTTGGTTCTTATTATTTGTACTTTAAGAGCTATTTACAGGTTTAATTAAATTGTTCCTCAACCATATAAAGATCAATGTTTCCAGCCACATGAATTGAATATATAAAAGGATGCATGAGGCCTAAATTAGCATTTAGTTTACTAAAATAAGTCAGTGTTGGAGCTAAAATCCATTAAATGGCTTTAGGAATCTGTCTGTTAAACCTTTCCAACCACCTCTCAAAATCTGACCCAGCTGCCATTATTTATCAGTTACAAATTTCCATATTCCTCTGCTGCTCAATCATGCTGTACTAAATTATCTCTGAGATCATGTCTTATGATTCTTGTATAGTAATAACATCTGCATTTCCTGGATTTTCCATGAGCTGTGTCATCCTTTCAAGATTGTTCAAGAACACATTTGTTCCTTTTATCAGAAGGACAGCAAAGCACTGCAGATCTTTTCCTACCAAGACTCCCAAGCCCCAGTGAATCAAAATAGCCTTGTCTCCTTTGGAATGCTCTGAACCACTTGGGGAAAAAGAATGTCTGTCATCGAATCACTATCATTTGTAATGTCCTCTCCAAAAGAAAGCCAAGGGGAAAAAAATGCTAGAACTATTTGTGACCTCATGAAATGCAAAAGAAAATTTACTTAGAACAATACAGCTTTTCTTTATTGTATACTCCCCACTTCTTCTTTGAGCCACACAAATTTTTGGTACTGAACTTGGTTCTTGTCGTGTACAGGCTTTGAACATGAGGAAATCAGTTGATATCTCAGTAGTTGGTGCTTTGATAATCAGATAAACCTGTTTTGAACAAGGTTTATCTGCTTTCATTGCCATTACTACTGGTGTCTCCCAAAGACTCAGAATGTCTTCTCCCTGGAGACAGAAAATTTCACTCCTTATTTACCCACAACCCCTATTCAGTGTTGTTATTAAACTGTGGACTACAATGAAAGATTGCAATTCTTCAGTCGGCTCTGTTTTAGTTTTGTCCTTAGTCAAGGTACTGAACTTCTCTGAGCTTCAGATACCTCATTGATAAAATGGAAATTGCTTGCAAGTGTTGCTTGCATGGAATTATTGATTCAAGAGATAAAGCAATCTTTGCTATGGACTAAATGTTTTTATCCTCCCCCCAACAAATTCATATGTGGAAATCCTAAGCCCAAAGGTATTAGGAGGTGGGGTCTTTGGGAAGTAATCAGGTCATGAGAGTGGAGCTCTCCTAATGGGATTAGCACGTTTATGAAAGGGTTCCAGAAGAGCTCCCTCATCCTCATTCCACCATGTAAATACAGAGCAAGAGTATAGTGGTCTATGAATCAAGAAGTGGTGCCTTGATCTTGGACTTCTCAGCCTTCAGAACTGTGAGAAATATATATGTTTGTTGTTTAAGCCACCTATTCCAAGGTATTTTTGCTATAGCAATCAGAATGAACTGAGACACTCTTTCTGAAAACAGTCTGTAAATTGTACACTGCTATACAGATGTAAGAAGTTGTTAAATACTGGTTGTTTAGAGCAGTGACCTCCAACTGGGAGCACCCAATGTAAGAGGTACAAAAGCAATACATTGAGGCATGGAAAGAGAGTATTAGAACCCCTATGCGTAATTGTGTTTAAACAAACAGAAACTCCAAAAAGACATTAAGCCCTACTGATATTTAATAAATGAATTAAATCCAATGCCTTTCTAACTGTGCACAGGAAATGGTCATGGAATTGGTACCTGAGATATCCTGAGGGCAGTGTACCAGAAATATTATAGTACTACACAATAGAGTGACAGTGGTATCCTCACACATCTGTACACATTCTGCATATGGCAATATGCTACAGTATGTGTAGCATACAGACTGACAAGCAGACAAGCAGAATAACGCTTCCCTCACCACCCCACCCAAAAGATGTCCTAACCATCAGAACCTGTGAATACGTTACCTTACATGGCAAAATGAATAGTGCAGATGTGATTAAGTAAAGGATCTTGATATAGGGAGGTTATCCAGGTAGCCCAATGTAACTACCAGTGTTGAAGGAAGGAGGGTCACAGTCAAAGAAAGAGATGTGGAGATTGAAGCAGAGTCAGAGTAATGTGATTCTTGGAGGGGGCCTTGAAAGGGGCCACAAGCCAAGGAATGCAGGCAGCCTCTGGAAACTGGAGCAGGCAAGGAAACAGATTCTCCCTAGAGCCTCCAGAAAAACACAGCCCTACTGACACTTTGAGTTTAGTCCCCTGAGATCCATTTTGGGCTTGTGACCTCTAGAATGGTAAGATAACAAATTTGTGTTATCTTAAGCCACTAACTCTGCTATAATTTGTTATAACAGTGATAGAAAAATGATATATCCTGTTAGGTGGATGCATGAATTCTATTATCTAGTTTTAACTAACAGTCATAAAATTGGGAAGTGTCTTAGAGAGATCCCTATAGGAAAACTGTGGCTGGAAGACAGTTGTAATAATGCAAGCACAAGCGAACAACAAGAAACAGTGGCGTGAACTTTACCTTACACCTCAGCTCATTTTGAGGTCACAGGGATGATGATCTGATATATTTAGTTCCATTGTTTAAATGAGGACAATGGTTTTTGTATCATAAATATATAAATTTAAAATAATAAATAATACTTTAAAATCTGTTTTTTATATCTATTAAGTCTTTGTTAAATTAACTTTTTTATTTAGCGATAATTATAGACTCACATCTAGTTCTAAGAAATAATAAAGAAATTCCTGTACCTTTAACCCACTTTCTCCCAATTGTAATGTCTTGCATAACTATAGTGCAATATCACAAAAGAGATAGTGACAGTGATATTGACATTATTCAGATTGTACCCACTTATATGCACCCATGTATGTATACGTGTGTATGTATTGAGCTCTGTGTTAGTCCATAGACTGCGTAATTTATGAAGGAAATAGGTTTAATTATACTCACAGTTCCACATGGCTGGGGAGGCTTCAGGAAACTTACAATCATGGTGGAAGGGGAAGCAGGCAAGGCTTACATTGCAGCAGACAAGAGAGAGCCAGCAAGAGCAGGGGAAACTGCCTTATAAAACCACCAGATCTCGTGAGAACGCACTCACTATCACAAGAACAGCAGGGTGAACGACCCTCATGATCCAATCTCCTCCCTCCCTCGACATGTAGGGATTACAAGTCCCTCCTTCAACAAGTGGGGATTACAATTCGAGATGAGATTTGTGTGGGGACACAGAGACAGACCATATCAAGCTCCATGCAATTTTAGCACAAGTATAGATTGTGTAGCTAGCCAAGTTACACAATAATTCCATGAGCACAAGGATCCTTCATGCTACCCATTTACAGTCAAATCCACCTCCTCTCTTTCCCCCCCAAACTTTAGCAACCAATAATCGGTTTTCCATGTCTATAACTTTATCATTTCAAAAACACTATACAAATGGCATCATTCAGGGTGAAACCTTCTGAGACTGGCTTTATTCACTCCGCATACCTCTCTTGGGATCCATCAAAGTTGTTGCACATGTTTGCTTTTTACTCTTACTGTTCCAAATCACCACAAATTTGTCTACTTAAAACAACCCACATTTATTGTCTCACACATTTCTTCTCTTTTTTATTGTTCTCAAAGTCAAAAGTCTGGGAACAGTGTGGCTCAATGCAGCCCTCTCCTTAGAATCTCATAAAGCCTAAAACAAGCCCTGTGTTCCCTTCTAGAGACTTGGGATGAATCCACTTCCATGCTCATTCAGGTTGTTGGACAAGTTCAGTGTCTTGCAGCTGTAGTACAGAGGTCCCTATTTCCTTGCTGGCAGTCAGCTGGGAACTAATCTTTGCTCCTAGTGCTTGTCTACATCCTTTTTATACTTAACGTGCTGCACCTCCAGCAATGGCAGATAGGGTACCCCTCATGCGTGGGATCTCTCTGACTTCTGCTTCATCTCTCCCCGACTCTAACCACAGAAAATTTTTTGCTTTTAAGAGTTTCTATGATTAGACTGAATCAACCAGAAAAGCCCAGAATAGTCGGCAAAGACCCTTTTGCCATGTAATAGGGATAGAGAGTATACATCTTTTGTGGGGAGATGGGAGCATTATTCTGTCTACCACATTGCATATATCCATAGTTTGTTTCTTTTTTGTTGTTGTTCAGTAGCGTGCCATGGCATGGATGTAGAACAATTTGTTCATCCATTTACCCACTGAAGAACATTTCAGTTTTCTCCAGTTTAGGGCTAGTGTGAATAAAGATGCTATGAATACTCTTGCACATGGTTTTATGTGAACATACGTTTCTTTATTTCTCTAGGATAAATATTCAGGAGTGCTATTGCTGAGTCATATGGCAAGGACATTTTCAGTTCCATAAGGGGAAACTGTCAAACCATTTTCCAGAGTATCTGTGTCATTTTACATAGCCACCAGCAGTGTATGTTTTCATTGTAGAAATCTTTTACTTCTTTGGTTATGTTTATTCCTGGGTATTTTATTTTATTTGTAGCTATTGTAAATGGGATCACTTTCTTGATTTCCGTTTTAGATTATTCAGTGTTGGCATGCAGAAACACTACTGATTTTTTTTATTGTAATTATTTTTTTTTAAGACAGAGTCTCACTCTGTGGCCCAGGCTGGAGTGCAGTGGCGCAATCTCGGCTCACTGCAAGCTCCACCTCCCAGGTTCAGGCCATTCTCCTGCCTCAGCCTACCGAGTAGCTGGAATCAAAGGCACCTGCCACCACGCCTGGCTAATTTTTTGTATTTTTTTTAGTAGAGACAGAGCTTCACCGTGTTAGCCAGGATGGTCTGTATCTCCTGACCTCGTGATCTGCCCACCTTGGCCTCCCAAAGTGCTGGGATTACAGGCATGAGCCACCGCACCCGGCCCCAACACTACTGATTTTTATATGTTGATTTTGTATCCTGCAACTTTACTGAATTCATCAATTCTAATATCTTTTGGTAGAGTCCTTAGGTTTTTCTAAATGTAAGAGCATATCATCTGCAAACAAAGACAATTTGACTTCTTCCATTCCAATTTGGATGCTCTTTATTTCTTTCTCTTGTCTGATGGCTCTAGCTAGGACTTCCAGTACTATGTCCAATAGCAGTGGTGAAAGTGAGCATCCTTGTCATGTTCCAGATCTCAGAGGAAAGGCTTTCAGTTTTTCCCCATTCAGTATGATACTAGCTGTGGTTCTGTCATATATGGCTTTTATATTGTTCAAGTATGTTCCTTCTACACTCAGTTTTTTGAGAGTTTTTATCATGAAGGGATCTTGAATTTTATCAGATGTTTTTCAGCATCAGTTGAGATGATCATATGTTTTTGTCCTTCATTCTGTTGATATGCTGTATCACATTTGCATATGTTGAGTCATCCTTGCACCCCTGGGATAAATCCCTTTTGGTCATGATAAATGATTATTTAAATGTGTTGTTGGATTTGGTTTGCTAGTATTTTGTTGAGGATTTTTGCATCTATGTTCATCAGAGATACTGGCCTTTAGTCTTCTCTTTTTCTGATGTGTTTTTGTCTGGTTTTGGTATCAGGGTAATATTGTCATCAAAGAATAAGTTTAGAAATATTTTCTCCTCTGTTGTTCAGAATAGTTTGAGTAGGATCAGTATTAGTTATTCTCTAATGTTCAGTAAAATTCAGCATTGAAGCTATTGGGTCTTGGGCTTTTTTATTTTTCTGGGAGATTTTCATTATGGCTTTGGTTTTGTCGCTTGTTATTGGTCTGTTTAAGTTTTGGATTTCTCCATGGTTCAGTCTTGGTAGGTTGTATGCTTCTAGAAATTCATCCATTTATCCTAGGCTTTCCAATTTATTGGCATATAGTTGCTCACAGAAGTCTCTAAAGATCCTTTGAATTTCCATGGTAACAGTTGTAATGTCTCTTTTTTCAGCTCCAATTTTATTTATTTGTCTCTTCTCTCTTTTTTTCTGGCTTTTTTTCTGATTAAGTCTGGCTAAAGGTTTGTTCATTTCATTTATCTTTTCAAACATCCAACTTTTTGTTTCATTGATCTTTTGTATTTTTTAATTTCAATTTTATTTTTTTTCTGCTCTGATCTTTACTATTTCTTTTCCTCTACTATTTGGGTTTTCTCATTCTTTAAGATGCGTCATTAAATTGTTTATTTGAAGTTCTACTTTTTTCATGTAGGCACTTGTTGCTATAAACTTTCCTCTTAGTAGTGCTTTTGCTGTATCCCATAGGCTTTGGTATGTTGTGTCTCCATTTCCATTTGTTTAAAGAATTTTAAAAGTTTTCTTCTTAATTTTTTCATTGACCAATCATTCAGGAGCATATTGTTTAATTTCCATGTTTTTGTATAGTTTTCAAAATTCCTCTTGTTATTGATTT